CTGTAATGGGCGTGTCCACACACTTCGTCGTGAGAACGATGGTGATCAAGTGTGGTCCACTCACACAGAGAACTAGACAACTTATGCATAAGAGACCGCAAGCAACCCGAGGAAACATCGACGCAGCCCTAACGCCTCTTATCTTGAACCTGCGACTGTTCACAGCTGCGCAGCCGCCATCGCCTTAAGACCATGTCTATGGACACGCCCTCCCCAGGCACCGTGATATGGACACTTCAGATGTATGCGCTTTTTCATACGTTCTGCATTCCAGAGTACTCGCTTTCTAATATGCCGACACCAATTATGCCATGCTTCGGAATATTTTAAAAACTTATTTGTGACGCATAGAAGAAATGAAGACGTTCACGTGAGTTGATTTATTCCCTAATGCGTTCGCTTAACACGTTGGCGACATCGCGTCCTACTGCTGAAGTTTCTCGAAATGAAAAACTAAGGTTCGGGAGACATCTTGGGTCCCATTTTCATGTTTAATTAAATGAAATCGTGAATAGATTCCAATGATCTCGAATCTTCCCTTATGGTGAAACAATGGAAGTGAAAATTCTATCTTTCAGGTGGCAGTGTCTGGCATGACGAATCCTTCACCAGCTACGCAATTCCGATGGTTCGTTGAAAGTTGCATTCCATGTCCAGCACTTAAGAGACATCACTGTAAGAGTTATAATGGACTGTTTGCAAATAAAATCGGAAATTTTATTCTCAGTAGTCTTTTTGGTGTATTTTGTCGAATTCTACATGGATGTCAGGCTTCGCCGAATCTTATGAGCACGACGGGCCAATCCTGGGTGAGTCAGTGCTAGCCGCAAGGGCCCCCAGTGCCATCCCGTGCCTGGAAGCCAGGCCAGAACTTCTAGTGGTCGAAGGCTGATCGATATTGGCGGAAGCACCTGTCCGGCAACAGTCACTTTCTCTGTCCTGGAACAGAGTAGAGAGGAAAGAGGCGCAAAAGATAGAGATTGACCATCCCCGCCTGTACGATCAACTTGGACTGCACCTTCAGAATTGAAAACGTAGAATCTGAAGGAAACGAAATATCTTGGGGGGCTCAGCGTTTCCAGTGTCGCGCAGTGGGCCCGTTGAGTCGGATGTGCAAAGTCCATCCTCCTTAAAGACAGCCCACGCGCTCGAGTAGGACAGTGGGTCGTCGCTGGTCTGCGCCCGAGTAGTACAGGGCCCGGCGGTCAAGCTAGAGAGCTGCCCTTCTATTGTCCTGCAACAGCGAGGCGAAAAGGCGAGCGATACAGCTGCTGTAAGGTTTGCTAGTTCCTAGACGCTGCTCAGCTTGGACCGGGCCTTACTTGCTGAGAATGTCCTCCGAGCGAAGGCCAGCTCAGTTTGTTCTCTAGTGCAGAGGGCGGCGGGCAATTGCGCTAAGGTGCCCATGGAGTAATGTCTGGCTCCCGCTTTATTACAGGTTTACTTCATGTAGAGGTATACTAATGCATTTCAATCAATTCAAGACTCCTTCGCGAGGTGAAAACGCGTAAGAAAGCACGAGTGACGGGCAAGTTGTTGGGTGATGCAAAAACCGCGACGGCACAGGAAAACGTCGCGTACCGTAATCCGCCAAATTTCAGACAGGTCCAGCCTTGTGATAAAGATGTTGCCCTTTTGTCTTGGCCAGAAGAATTTTTGCCTGCGTTCGGTGTTTTGTTGTGGTTTGTTTTTGTATTGGTTGTTTTTGCAAACTGAATGATATCAACTACTGCGGAGGACTGTGGATAGAGAGAATTGTGATCTAGGGGTTACAGCAGAGAACAGGCAGGAGGTGTGACATGCGTGCAAGGGAGGTGTGACTGTGACTGGAGGGAGCGATTTTGTTTATGTTGTTCTGGAGGACGCTTCTTGCCTGTTTTCTTCTTTGGGAGATTACTTATCAGCTACTGTTTCATAATTGGAAGCAGCTATCCATGAGACTTTTATCGCGGAAGCTGTCTTTAACCAGATAACATCTTAGAGCAGTTTTGGAGACACTAAGAACTCTTTATTTTCAGATGACACTCTGGAAACGTGTATGCGACTAGCCCGCCGGTTTCAAGCAAACGGTCTGGTTGTCCGTTGCTCAAAGTTTATTATTGAAAATGTGAGTTAACCCTGGCATCGAAGATTGACTGAAGTCCACAAAACTAATACAGAAAATCAATAGACGAAAAATATAAAACCGTCAAATTCCATAAAGCAGTACTTTGTTGTCGGTTTTGTATTGTGTAGTATGTAAGTATGTATGTAAATGTTATGTAGTATGTCCGTGCCGGCGAAAAAATTGGCTTCACAGGGCTCGAGTTAGCTGGAAGGCGAAAACGAGCCGCTAGGCAAACAAGGCGAATCGGGTGCGGAAGTATCAATCCAATGTTTTGATCGTGATATCGGCCTCCGCTATATAAGACAACCATTCGGTACACTCCGAGCCATTGCACGAGCTGCTGGCGTGGCAGCTGGACGTGTGCTCGTGCGGGGGCAGGGTGGGGTGGGGCCGAGGGGGGGGGGGGGGGGCACTGGGCGCCCCCCCCTCTGCTTCCTTCCCCTGCGCGTGCTCAGCCCGATCTGAGCATGCGCAAGAGAAGGAAGCAGAGGGCAAGAGAAGGAAGCAGAGGGACGGTCCGACTGGAACACTGGGGCGTTTTTTCAAGGTATGATATAGGTTGTGGCACAGGAATATGTCGGTGACAAGAACTGCTAGCCGCTAATAAAGGGAGTTAGAATGGAAAGGACAACATACTCATAACGCGGTACACAGCATCAGTTAGGCGTTGATTTCAGCAAATGATATCAAGGGGAAGGTGGAGAATGCGAAGTTGTTCAGAGGGGGGGGCGAGGCTGGGTGTGTGTTGCAATCAAACGCTGAAGCCTCTACACCACGAAATTATGGAGTTTTAGTGATAGCGACATTGATGACGAGTGACAAGCAATTTTATCAATTGATAAGTAAAGATAAGGGGACATTTTCATGACATCTCTGACCACTACACTGCAAAAAAAAACCGTCTCAGTAAGCGAAAATTTCCGCACAAGCCATCACTGCCTCTGATAGCACAGAAATGTACTCCATCCCACTAGGATGGGGGGGTGGGGGAGGAGAGGCGTGGGGACTGGGGGGGGGGGGTATATACTTCGCCTGAAACAGGAAGTTTGGAGAAATCAAAAACTCCAATATTGGAACACACTTTATGCGTTCAGTGAGTATTTAAATTTTTTTTTTGCTTTTCAACATCAAATCACTGAATATATATACTTTGCCTGAAAACTATATACTTCGCCTGAAACAGGAAGTTTGGAGAAATCAAAAACTCCAATATTGGAACACACTTTATGCGTTCAGTGAGTATTTAAATTTTTTTGCTTTTCAACATTTAATCACTGATGAGAACGAATAACGAAGTAGTTTGTAAGATATTCAATGAACGCTGCCTGTCATCTGCAGCCATTCATGCAACCTTAGCAGGTGGATTGCATGTTAATGACAAGTTAATCGCCCATCGTTGGTGTTGTGATGCAGGTAATAAAAACGGAATTTGTTCATCTACTGTGCAACACATATTGATATTCTGTACTTCCTATCTATTTCTGAGATCTACGTATAGAATGGGCGTTATGGCCGAAACCAGCACGCCTTCCGCAACTCTGAGGGGTGCAGATTTCGCTAGGTTACTCTGTCTATTATGATTCGACCACTACCGCGCAATATGAGCAGCTCATCAATTGCTAATTCCATCCCGTTATGATGTGCGCCTGGCGAAGCCAGGCCAGCTCGGCGAAGCCGAGCTAAAAAGAAGGAGGAGAGCTCGGCGTCAGCCGTGCGATCCGACTGGTATAAATATAAATGACCAACAAAGGTCTGTAGGACAAGTTGTACGCTCATAGATCGTGATCCTTGACATGTGCGAGGTGAATGGGTCCGTAGCAGAAACGAACCACTTTCTACGATCAAAAGTGCACAGGTACAGGGCTGGAGGGTATTGATACCCGGGTGCCGTTTCCCAAGTTTGCTCGCTTATAATCGAACTGGAGCACTTGCGTTGATGCAAAGGTCCCGCAGCGAAGCACGTTTTCAGGAGTAAAGAAGAACTACAAGTGAGATGGCGCAGACAAGTACCGCGTGGCTGGCCGTGCTGCAGCGCGGGAGAATTATGGGCATGGCCTGTTCATCCCTGTTCCCGTGAACTTTTATGCGGCACGCTGGTGCAGCTGTGTTTCTATTCTTCTCGCATATAGCAAGGACCAAATGCCGCGGACGTGAGTGCACAGCTCGTCTTCGTGAGCTCCCCGGGAATTCTTGATTCTCCTATTCCATCTGAGCAACAACGAACAGCTCACACCGACCATGCGTGTTGTTCCTGACCTTGTAAGTTCGGCTTCTTTTATCTTGTGGTGCGCCCTCTTCCTTGCCATCGTGGAAGGAGGAGGCCGTCAATGCGGATGGCGCAGGGGTTCAGACGACCCCAGTGGGTACCGTGGAAAGCTCCCCAATTGCATGATGAAATAAAGGCACTTTTATGTAGTTTATTCGCTGAGATTCCATCACAGATACGGAGTTCTTCTATTACCATTGAGAGTAAGCCTCTGTTTGAAGGTATATAATCGACAACCAATTGTCGCTTATGTTGGCTGAACTGGGCTCTCAAGCATCGATTCGATGATCAGGTATGGCTTTAGCGTATCAGCAAAGGGTTTTTTCCAGCGATATGTTGTGAATGTTGATTGAGGCAGCGTTCAGGCTTCGCGACGGCAGCGCCTCGGTCGCGCGTTCGGCGCGATCGATACGCATGCTTTCGACTGCATCGATCGCGTCGAACGCGCGACTGCCGTCGCGAAGTCTGAACGCTGAATGACAGCGCGGGCTGGCTATGCAGACGTGTCAGTAGGAGTGCGCACACATTCGTGCGACCGCGACGACAAGTGGCGCCACGCGCTGCGCGATCTAAGCAATCGATACCCACCCCAAATCACATTTGGTCATTCAGGTCCAATTGGCATGCATGCCTGTGGTAGCGCGTCTTTCTTTGGCCAACCTCGAACATCACCGTCACATGATGAGCGAACGGATATTTGCTGATATTCTTGCCGCTAAATTGCGAGGATGCTACGAGAAGGTAAGTAGTACTCCCACTTATGTTCCGTTCATAGTTCGCGACAGCCCACTTGGGTCGCGCAACTCAAGCCGTTCAACTTTGTAGTGCAAAATCGACTCGTAGCAACGTTCAGACTTCGCGTTGACGCGCGTCGACGCGCTACACTTGCAACTGCGCTTCAATCCTATAGATGCGAACGCGGTCGCATCCTATAGACGCGAACGCAGAGCACACGGGAATCGACCAGCACCGCCCCGTTGGCCAGAATGGATCGATAACAGGCGGAGTGATTGAGCAACTCCATACTCTCAATACTTGAGCGGGCAGAAGCTATCGACCTTTTCTGCGACTGCGTTCACATCTACAACCCTTGAGCGCTGCTGCAATTGCA